AAACTTCTGGTCCAAAATATTTGACTGGTACTCCAAAGCATATAAGAGGCATCTTCAACCCGAGGCTGGACTTGCCATTTTCGGCTGCTCTCAGGCAACAAGGACAATTCCAACTACAATGCGGCAACCATTGGAACTGGGAATGATAGTCGCCAAAAGACTGATATTGAGAGAATGGAAGTCCCCTACCCCTCCTTTCTTTCAGGCATGGGTCACTGATATGCTATCCATAATACAAATGGAAAAACTCCGCACTACTCAAATGGACACATTTTTTCGTTCTTGGAACCCATTCCTAACACATTTTGAAAGGTTTAAATTACAGTAAACTGACTGTATTCCTGTGTTAACAACTTTTCCTGCTACCGTTGTGTTAAACATGATTATAACAATTGGCAATTGCTGTATCTGAGCCTGTTTGTTTGTCTGTCTATTTGAAAATGTAAATAAAATATATAAAAAAAAAACATCCCACCTTTTATCAAAGATGAAGCTTTGGTTAAGGAATTATCGCGTTTCAGAAAGTTGGTTGCTCCAATGAAAAAGATTGCGATCGGGAGTAAATCTGAATTGATCAAACATGTTGTCCCTCATTTATCAAAAGTGTGTACACCAAATTTCCAGCGTACACCTTGCGTACACCCAAAACCACGGTGAGTTTGAGATTTATCAATATGGACGTTGGCGTACGGCACGCTCAAATCCTACACCCGCTCAGGAGATGGTGTACGCACGTTTAGAGTTAGTGCGGAAATGTGCAGAGAAATTCCTAACACCACAAAACGCACTGACAAACTAAAATACATGATACATTATGACCCAGTGTAAAACAACAACAACATAGTAATTATAAACTTCAGTATTTATTTTTGTGCAACATGGACTTCAATGTTTAATTTGTAAAAGATTTTACCAAGGCATTTGATTTGTAAGCATTCCTTCAGTTGCGAGCCTGTGGACTTTTCCCTGCCGTTTCAGGATTATCCCCGGCAGGTGCGCACGGACTGGGTTCGGTAATGAAAGGCTTTCAATGACCAAAAAATAATTCAGACTGACAAAATAATAAAACATACATTGTGTGTGTCCATGGCGTAAAATGAGGGTGTGGGGGGGGGGGGGGGGGAGACTTGAATATTTAGGGGCGTGTTATTCTAATGACGATCGTTTTCGGCTGCGGGATTTATCAAGGGCAGGCATTGCGTACTCCTGCATTTCAAAGTTACGCACATCTTCATAAATCAGGCGGTGAGAGGAGTGTAAGCATAATCTTACGCCAACATATACACCCAAGAATGATAAATGAGGGCCGTTGACTCTCCTTTTAGGAGATTCACTTACATGATTTTGAGTGAGAACAGAACAGAACTGAATTTTAATCTGAAATTCAGATTTGATGATTTCGATTACACTGTATCCACTGATATAATGAAGTGTTTCAGATGTTGAAAAACTAGGAATTTGGCTCGTGCTTGTTAAAAGACTTTTTAAATGTCATTGAGTCTTTTAGTTTTACACAATTTGTGTCTGAATCTACTCATCAACGTGGTCATACACTAGATTTAGTACTAAGCTATGGTTTGTCTGCATCAGTTAATAATATCAGTGCTTTACCAATTTTAGATCATTCACTGATATTATTTGACATGTTTATCCCTAATTCATTTAGTATGGGGAAAATGGTGCAGAGGAAAAGGTTATTCTCGTTATATTAGCACAAATGCTTTACATGAGTTAAACTTGAAATTACCAGATGTGTTGGATCCAGTTTTTAGCCAAGCCTTTTCAGTGGACTGTCTAACAGATCATTTTAATGGTGCACTCTGGGAATTGTTGGAATGGGTGGCCCCTGCAAAGACACGGAAGTGTGCTCCAAAAAAAAATCACAGTCCTTGGTTAAATGATGAGTTATTGACTCTCAGAAAATGATGTAGAAAATTTGAACGTCAATGGCGCCATACTAAGCTTGAAGTTTATTGTAAGGCATGGCATGACAGTCTGACCACCTATCAGAACATGATGGCTACTGCTAAGGCAGCCTTTTATTCTAATGTGATTATGAATAATAAGCATAACCCTAGACTGTTATTTGAAACTGTTAACAGACTTACACAGTGTCAGCAGCCAGTAAATAGTATGGATTTGTCAGCACATGATTTTAGGATGCATTTCTATGAGAGAGTTAATGACATCCGTACGTTGATACCCCAGTCTGAGGTTGGGGGTTTAGATTGCGCCATCACAGGACCATCTTTTATTGGAGAGGGCTATTATGAGTTTGAGCCAATTTATTTAGCTGAGTTGACTAAAATTGTTGTAACTGCAAGAGAGACTACTTGCTCTCTGGATCCTTTGCCTGCCTGGGTTGTTAATGAACTATGGCCAACATTAGGATTGTATGTTTTAGCTGTTTTAAATCTTTCACTCTCTACAGGAGTTTTTCCAGCTTGTTTTAAATCTGCAGTGGTTAAACCACTATTGAAGTAACCAAATCTGGATATAAACTTGTTGGAAATTTATAGACCGGTCTCTAATTTGGCCTTCTTAGCTAAAGTATTTGAGAAAGTGGTCTCAAGTCAGCTTTTAAAGTATTTGTCATCAAATAATCTTTTTGAGCCGCTGCAGTCTGCTTTTCGAGCAAAACATTCGACAGAAACAGCACTCACAAAGGTGGTAAATGATCTGTTACTGGCTGCTGACTCAGACTCAGAGTCCCAACCCCCCCCCTTTCAAAATTGAGAGTCGACTCTGAGTCTATGAAATGAATTGTTTTTGAAACGAGTCATTAGCTGGTTCGTCGTGACGTAGATACATACTGGCCGTGCCCAGTTACTGCGCGCGCAGACGGAAGTGTAAACTTGAAGTCTACACATTCAAATACTTCATCATAGCATCATGTCGAGAAGACGCTGTGTTCCACAATGCAAAGATAATTCAGCCACTTTGTTTTCATTGTCCAGGGACGAGCATGTGAAGAATCAGTGGTTAGAGTTCATATTTGCAACGATACCACACCAGTATAGCCCGATTGTGTTCTCATCGTTTTATTGACGAATAACGTTAGTTCAAAAACATAAATGAATTCAAATGTGGATTCGCAAGCGGTTGTTCCTGAAGGAGGGCTCAGTAACTTACTTACCCAGTGTATATGGATCAGCTTCCTCCTACGAATCACAACCTGTAAGTATTATTAATAATTGTTGCTTTTATGGGTTTTGAACGGTTTTGTAGCGTCGGGGCGCGAGGAGGGAAGGCGCAATGAGTGTGTGTGTGTGTGTGTGTGTGTGTGTGTGTGTAAGTTACGCTCAGCGCAGCTTCTAGGTCTCCAATGTCAATTTTTTTTAAATATGTGAAATGTTTGTCGCTGTTATTGGAGTTGTCATACAGAATAGAGCGTCTTGTAGTACTGCAATGTTTATATTTAATATTTATATTTAAACAATATGAATGTAAGCCAGAGGAGAACTGGCCCCCGACTGAGCCTGGGTTCTCCCAAGGTTTTTTCTCCATCCAATCTGATGGAGTTTTGGTTCCTTGCCACTGTCGCCTTGCTTTTGGCTTGCTTTGAGCTTGCTCAGTTGGAGTTATTTTGTGTTTAGCAATATTGTTGATCTGTGTTGTACTACTTTCATGTTATCACTGTGAAGCTGCTTTGATACAATCTGTATTGTGAAAAGCGCTATATAAATAAATGTGACTTGACTTGACTTGCAGTGCTTTATCAATATGTTTATGCGTTGCAATAACTGACTGGGTCTGTCATCTGACCAATCACCGCCGATTAGCATCACGCAAAGGAGTGGTTTGGAAAAATGAGTCATTGTACGAATCATTTGGGAGTCGTTGAGCAAATCAGTTAAAAATAAATGCATATTATAAGACAAATAAAGTGTTTTTCATCCTTGCATGCATGTTAAACTGTTTTTGGGAACTCCTAAAACAAAAATAGGAACATTTCAAATACTGTGATAGGGGCTCTTTAAATGTTTAATCATGAATGTTATTCATTGACCTTACATGTGCCTGTCTTGTTACTGAAGAAAACAGTGTTTGGAGGATACATGAAATATGTTTAATGTTATTATATATTAAAGAAAAAAGTTATATTTAAATACATCTAATGGAATTAAAACATATTTCGGGCAGACCGCTGATCACTGACAGTAGGTGTGTTGGACATCGGCTGAATGTAGTGATCGGCGAGAGTAGCCGTGTTCAGGCGGGTTAGTTAACTCTAACCCTAACCCGTAGTGACCGCACTCCTGTGTATTTGCACACTTTACCACAGCTGAAGAGAAATGAATGCAATATTTGCAACATGACATCATGACTTTTGCATAAACATATACGCCACTTTCAGGTCAGGTGGCGTGTTATCTCCACGCATTTTGAGCTATCCGCGTGTATGTCTACGCCATTAACGTCCGCATCATTCCGCGTGAACACGAACATGCAGTCAAATCTCCAGTCATAAATGCCATTAACCCCAGTGATGGTTAGGTTTAGGGACGGGGTTGAGGTAAGTCATATATTTATATAACGTTAAGTCAACGCCGTTCATAAACACGCTGAAAGGCGATTATGCGTCTTGATAGCATGCCAAAAATGGAAATACGAATTTGTGTGTCATACACACGCTACTTCATGAGATCAGTCTGATATTTGCCAAATACACGGATGTTTCAGAGACATGGATCAGAGCCATCAATGAAGAGTTGACATTTGAGGTTTTTTTTGTATGTTTTATTTTGATAAACATGACAATATAACATCACGACTACACTGGGGGGGGGGGGGGGGGGGTTGGGGGTTGACAGTGAATATATTTTGTCTTGGTAGTTTAAAATATATATATAATAAATATACATATGTATAATACCACTTTCAAATGTATTTCAAGTTGTCAAGTGAATTATGTACACCATTATCATTTTGCATTACCATTTGCTAATCATATTCTGGTGACAGTAAGCATATGAAAACCATTTTTTTTTACAAATATACTGCAAATCCATAACATGGCATACTATTTACATATGACATCAAAGTGTGCAACGGCAGCTATATAGGTCAAGAATCCATTGCAATAAAATTCATAACTATGTGTTTAAAAAAACAATGTTTACATGATTTAAACTGAGGGAGTCCAACAGTGATCAACATAAAGAAGCAGTCAAACAACAGGAGACGGTAACTTTTGGTAGTTTGTCGCATTTGCTCTCGTTTATAAACAGCTCCAGTAGTGAGGCGTGGCCAGCTGAATTCAATAACAACATTATTTAGTCGAGTATATAATCGATTAGGATACCGCAGCAGCCCTGGCCGAGTGGAGGAGTAGAGGATCAGTAAACACCAAAGAGTGTAAAGACCAGCGACTCCACCTAGCAAAAACACTGACAAGGCTCTAGAGTATTGTTTTACTTTCCTTTTATACAGCTTGTTATCATCTGTGCGTTTTAGTCACCTGTTTTCACTATGTGCTTCCAAATCCCTTCTATTATTAACACTCGTAAATCACGTCTCACATAAGAGGCAGCACGATCCGAACAACCTGTTAGTTGTTAGAACTAACCTCATCCTTTTCAATCACCCTACTACCTGTCCGCTAGATCCTATCCCCACTCATCTCCTTCAAGCCTTTTCTTCTTTAGTTATACCTGCACTCACTCATATCATCAACACCTCTCTTCACACTGGTACCTTTCCCACAGCATTTTAGCAGTCTCGGGTAACCCCACTGCTTAAGAAACTCACCCTAAATCCAGCACTTTATCCCTTCTTTTTTCTGTCATTTTCAACCAATTCCCTTCCTTTCTTACACAGAACAACCTCGTGGATGACAACAACCAGTCTGGTTCCAAAAGCTGACACTCAACTGAGACTGCCCTGCTCTCGGTTATTAAGTTATTATAAGTTCTGAGACTGGCAAGAACAGCTTCCAAATCTTCAATGCTCATCCTGCTGGATCTGTCTCCTGCTTATGACACAGTTAACCACCAGATCCTTCTGCCAACCCTGAAGACAGTGGTTCAACTCGTAACTTCTAGGTACGGGGTGCCTCAGGGCTTGAACTACTTCTCCTATCCATCTACATGTCATCACTAGGATCTGTCATTCAGAAATGGTTTTTGGTTGCTGTTTTGTCCTATCACTGTTATGCTGATGACACACAACTCTACCTCTCATTCCAACCTGAGGATCCAATGGTTGCTGCTCACATCTCAGCCAGACAGACATTCAACTAAACCTTGCAAAGATTGCTTGTGGTCTCGGCCAACCCAACACTTCATCACAACTTCTCCATTCAGCTCCGTTCATCAACCATAACTCCATCCAGGAGGACCAGTAACCTTGGAGTTGTGATCGACGATCAGTTGAACTTCAAAGACCACATTTCTAGAACTGGCCGTCCAATAGATTTACCTTATTCAAAATTAGGAGAATACGACCCTTCCTATCAGAGCATGCTACACAACTCCTTGTCCAAGCTCTTGTTATATGCAGATAGGACTTATTGTAATGCTCTCTTGGCAGGCCTTCCAGCATGTACTGTCAAACTTCTGCAATTGTTCCAGAATGCTACAGCAAGAGTGGGTTTCAAAGGGCAAAAGTGAGCGTACCTCTCCTCATAAAATTGCACTGGTTGCCAATTGCCGCTTGCATCAAATTCAAGGTACTGTTGTTTTCCTACAGAACAACCACTGGCTCTGCTCCTCTATACCTAAACACATCACCTAGACCTAGGTCCTTTACAGAAGCTTGTGCTCTGCAAGTGAACGGTGACTTGCGGTGCCATCTCAAAGAGGCAAAAAAAAAATCCATTTCACATTCACCTGGACTGTTCCCTGCAGGTGGAATGACCTGCCTATCTCAACCCAAGCTGCTGAGTCTCTAGCCATTATCAAGAAACTGTTAAAGACGCATCCAACATTTGACTCGATACTAATCAATTCCTATTCCAGATCTATTATGAAAAAAAATACTAGCTACGTGTGCTGCACTGGACTAGCTGGGACATCTTGCATATTGTTGGCCTATTGTTAATTTGATTGCTTCTATTACTCTCCTCATTTTTAAGTCGTCTTGGATAAAAGTGTCTACTAAATGGTTAAATTTAGTCAAAATTGTAACTTTCAAATTCTGTAATTTTTTTCACTAATTGGTAACATATCGCTGTAGCGCAACAGTTCAAGCAGCACGTGAACCGATCATTTCTTACTCGTTACTACTAGTTAAAGCGCCATGATGACATTGACATTGAAAGATTATGCGTGTAATGTTTCTAGCCAAATGTATTGTAAATGTAAATGTATAAATATCGTAAAATCATTCTGTGTGAATTCTCATGTGGTAATTAAGGTTTCTGTTTCGGGTGAAACTTTTTCCACACTGTTGGCAGGTGTAAGGCTTCTCTCCAGTGTGGACTCTCATGTGGACTTTAAGGTGTACATGTTGATAAAAACTTTTGCCACACTGAGGGCATGTATAAGGCTTCTCTCCAGTGTGAATTCTCATGTGTCTGTTAAGGATTCCTTTATGATTGAAACTTTTTCCACAAAGTAGGCAGGTGAAAGGCTTCTCTCCAGTGTGAATTCTCATGTGGTAATTAAGGTTTCCTTTTTGGTTGAAACTTTTTCCACACTGTTGGCAGGTGAAAGGGCTGTCTCCAGTGTGAACTCTCATGTGATATTTAAGGTTTCTTTTTCGGGTGAAACTCTTTCCACACTGTTGGCAGGTGTTAGGCTTCTCTCCAGTGTGGATGCTCATGTGGACTTTAAGGTGTACATGTTGATCAAAACTCTTCCCACATTGAGGGCATCTATAAGGCGTCTCTCCAGAGTGAATTCTCATATGCCTGTTAAGGATTCCTTTTTGGCTGAAACTTTTTCCACACCTTTGGCAGGTGAAAGGCTTCTCTCCAGTGTGAATTTTCATGTGGTAATTAAGGTTTCCTTTTCTGGTGAAACTTTTTCCACACCGTTGGCAGGTGAAAGGGCTGTCTCCAGTGTGAATTCTCATGTGGTAATCAAGGTTTCCTTTTCGGGTGAAACTTTTTCCACACTGTTGGCAGGTGTAAGGCTTCTCTCCAGTGTGGATTCTTATGTGGACTTTAAGGTGTACATGTTGATCAAAACTCTTCCCACATTGAGGGCATCTATAAGGCTTCTCTCCAGAGTGAATTCTCATATGCCTGTTTAGGATTCCTTTTTGGCTGAAACTTTTTCCACACCTTTGGCAGGTGAAAGGCTTCTCTCCGGTGTGAATTCTCATGTGGTAATTAAGGTTTCCTTTTTGGTTGAAACTTTTCCCACACTGTTGGCAGGTGAAAGTTCTCTCTCCAGTGTGAATACTCATATGCCTGTTAAAGATTCCTTTATGATTGAAACATTTGCCACACTGTTGGCAGGTGAAAGGCTTCTCTCCAGTGTGAATTCTCATGTGGTAATTAAGGTTTCCTTTTTGGATGAAACTTTTTCCACACTGTTGGCAGGTGTAAGGGCTGTCTCCAGTGTGAATTCTCATGTGATATATAAGATTTCTTTTTCGGGTGAAACTCTTTCCACACTGTTGGCAGGTGTTAGGCTTCTCTCCAGTGTGGATTCTCATGTGGACTTTAAGGTGTACATGTTGATCAAAACTCTTCCCACATTGAGAGCATCTATAAGGCATCTCTCCAGAGTGAATTCTCATATGTCTGGTAAGGATTCCTTTTTGGTTGAAACTTTTCCCACACCTTTGGCAAGTGAAAGGCTTCTCTCCGGTGTGAATTCTCATGTGGTAATTAAGGTTTCCTTTTCGGGTGAAACTTTTTCCACACTGTTGGCAGGTGAAAGGGCTGTCTCCAGTGTAAACTCTCTTGTGCACTTCAAGGTTCCTGTCTTGAACGATAGTCTTTCCACACTGAGAGTACGTATAAGGCTTCTCTCCAGTGTGAATTCTCATGTGCCTGTTAAGAATCCCTTTTTGGTTGAAACCTTTCCAACATATTTGGCAAGTGTAAGGCTTCTCTTTATTGTGAATTATCATGTGCCTGTTAAGGATACTTTTTTGGTTGAAACTTTTCCCACATTGTTGGCAGGTGAAAGGCTTTTCTCCAGTGTGAATTCTCATGTGGTCTTCAAGGTGTCCTCTCTGATTGAAATGCTTTCCACACTGAAGACATGTGTAAGGCTTCTCAGTGTGAATTTGCATGTGCCTGTTAAAACTTATAGTCCCTGTCTTTTGTGCTATATCTGACTTTTCCCCAATAATGAAATAGTTGTGATTGTTATATTGATCTTTCTCTTCCATTTCCTTCAGTACTTCCCTCTCCTCTTTCACTGCCATCAGGTCTAAATTGAAAAAAAGAGAAAAAAAATAGTTAACCCCAGTTTAATGGCACAAAGCAACAAACATCCAATCATGTCTACATGTAAAGCATCAAAAGAAGACACGGCTTAACTGCATGTGGAATTATGGGTCACTGAAGAGACCACAGGAAAAACACCCAGTCTACAAACAACTCCATTAGAGGTAGCAGACCTAGCGTCGACGGTCCACCACGCCTGGCATCGGAGGGGTAATGGAGGAACTCACAAGGTTCACCAACGTAGGGCGCCAATGGAGCAAAAGACGCACGTATCCGGCCGAGGCATGGAGTGGCGTAGCAAGCCTATTCACAAACCTATTCCCTCACACCACTGGCCGTAGCGAGTACTCAGGAGGAAACAGGTTCTACATCTAGGCAATAGAATCTAACAAACGTGTTCGGTGTCGCCCAGCCTGCAGCTCTACAAATGTCTGTCAGTGAGGCGCCTTGAGCCAAAGCCCAGGAAGCGGCAACACTTCTAGTAGCCTTAGCCTCATACGCTCGGGTGATAGTATTCACTAACCAGTGAGCTAACCTCTGCTTGGAGACAGCCTTCCCCTTTCTGCTGGCCTCCGTAAGAGACAAAGAGCTGATCTGAGGTCCTGAAGCTTTGCGTTCTGTCAATGTAAACCCGCAGGGCATGGACGGGACAGAGAATAGCAAGGGCTGGGTTTGCCTCCTCCTGGGGCAGCACTTGCAGGTTCACTACCTGATCCACGAAGGGAGTGGTAGGAACCTTGGGCATATATCCGAGCCGGGGTCTCAACACCACATGAGAAAGGCCCGGCTCGAACTCTAGGCACGATTTGTCAACCGAAAAAGCCTGCAGATCCCCGACCCTCTTGAAAGAGGTCAATGCCAACAGGAGCACTGTCTTAATGGCCAGGATATTAAGCTTTACTGTCAACAAAGGCTCAAAGGGAGGAACTTGAAGAGTCCTAAGTCCCAGAGCTAGGTCCCAAGAGGGTCCAGAGTGCCAAACATGAGGTGAATTTAACCTCCTAGCACCCTTAAGGAGTCTGATGATCAGGTCGTGCTTCCCCAATGACTTACCTTCTACTGTACCGTGATGCACAACTATTTCAGCGACATACACTTTGAGGGTGGAGGGAGACAGCCTTCGCTCCAACCCATCTTGCAGGAAGGAAAGCACGACTCTGATGGGGCAAGTTCGGGGGTCCTCCTGACGGAAGGAACACCACTCGATGAATAGGTTCCACTTCAATGCATAGAGGCGCCTCGTAGAGGGGGCTCTAGCGGAAGTGATGGTGTCTACCACTGCCTGTGGTAGACCACCTAGAACCTCCGCGTCCCGTTCAGGGACCAGACATGGAGTTTAAAGAGGTCTGGACATGGTTGCTATAGAATGTATCGATGTACTCCCAGTTACGAGCTCTGATGTCACATATCCCCACGAAACCATACAAAACAACAATGGCAGCCCCTAAGGATGCAGTGTTTCTGCAGGTAGTACACGGTGAGAATACACTTTAGGACAATATAACGTTGCAGTCAAATTAATAATAATATAATAATAATGATAATAATACACACACAATTATTTTGTTGAGTATGTTTGTATATGTGTGCTGAGCAGAGAGCTGGTAGAGTTATATTTTGCATAGAGATATGTGTGCAATGCAATGTACACAGAGAAAGATGTTCCAGTGATGATGATACATTAAATGTTTACATGTTAAAGGAATGTTTCAACTGATGAAAATGTACCACAGATGTATACACTGAGAAATAGTTTCTTAATGTGGAAAGTAGATTGTACCATGTGCATTAGGTATGCATTCCATCTTTAAACATAAGCAATATGTTTTTCTACTTTACAAGGAAATTGTAAGTCTCTCTGTGATGTATATAAGCTCAATCTTTCTGAACCAACTATAACTGAGGTCCTATAAATGAAACATCACTTAAAACATTACAAGGAAAAAGCAATACAAAATATAAAAACAATAAATCAATATAACTTGTTAAATCCTTTAGGTAAATACAGTGTACATATTCAAGAACAACACAGTCTCCTCGGGCTGACCCTCGTGTTACTTGCTCTGAGGGGTTCCTGATGTTTACAAACTTACTGAGTGGGGGAGATGGCAGACCATGAATTATTGTCTATAACAAACATAAATTAGACAGTCCTTTCAGAAAAACGCAGAGTTTTTTGTGATTGTTGCGGGCAAAAATCCTTGATTACGCTGCCCGTTTTTTTTAAAAATGCGATGGAATATGCGGGATATTTTTTTTTGCAATTTTATGCGATGAAATTGCGGGAACTTGCAAAAATTGCGGAAACTTGCAAAAATTGTGGGAATTTGCAAAAATTGCGGGAACTTGCAAAAACTGCGGTTTGATGAAAAAGAGAAAAAAGTGATTCCCCCAACACCCTGTTCTCACTAGGCTACTACCTTAATGTAAAGAGTCATTTCTTATTACTTCCTTTGATAAGCAAGCATACTACATCATAGAAAGTGCTGAGAATATTTAATTTCTCATCTTGTTTTATTTCAGACTGGCCCCTTTAAGAGCTGCGCGCTCCCTGTTGAATTGTCTGCAGTGTTATATGTGCGCCTCAAACACCCCATGTGTGCGGGTAATTTCTGTTTGATGCTAATTCTTTTATCTTATGTTGTTTATTAAGTAACGATGTAACGATGTAGAACGTGTGACAGACAGTTATACGAGTTGGATTTGAGTTGTCAATCGCCTCCTTGAGTCTGTCTGGCCTCTGCAATAACTTGAGCTGTGATTTTTTTTTTTTACTTTTTTTTTTAACTTCAGCTGTGAGCTATCCCATCGCCGTCGTGTAATTGCGTCACTTCATAACGTTCCCATGGAAACAGGGGGAAATGGCTGCTCTTGCGTGAAGCAAACACAACATTTTTCAACTTTCTGCTAAAATATATGTGACTTTTTTGGCAACGAAAATGCGAGGATTATGAAATCATGCAAACCCCGCATATTTTGCACGGAAATCGGCAATTTATGTGGCGAAAGTGCGGCTTATTTGAAAAAATGCGGCCCCCGCATAAATATGCGGACTTTGGCTGATTTTGCATTGAATTCAAGCGATCGCATAATCGCGTTTTTTCTGGAGGGACTGGTTAGAATAGACCATTTCACAAGATGTAAACAACACTGGTCCAGAAGCACTTCCTGTTTCAGTTTTTTAACACTACATAAAAGCTGGGATAAAATACAACCAACAGAACATTTAAAACTGAATCAAAAAGTTAAACAAACATCTTTAAGATGTTTTCTTTACATGTGAAATAAAGAAAACAGTTACAAACTGAAACAGGAAGTGCTTCTGGACCAGTGTTTACATCTTGTGAAATGGTCTATACTTGATAACATTTTCCCAACTTAAAAGTTTATGTTTTTGCAATATGACACAATGGTGAAATCTAAATGGTTTTTTATCTAAATTTTGACTGTTTGCTTGAAATGTGACTAATGGTTTTAACTAGGGATGTCCCGATACCACTTTTTCACTTCCGATACCGATACCGATGCCGCACCTTTGGCTTTTGCCGATACCGATATTAGTCCGATATTTTTTTTTTCGTGGTCCGACGTGCCGTATACGGCCCACAGGGTGGTTTATAGGTTTAACTTTGTGAAAGACAAAACAAAACAAACACAAAAGTAAACATAATACATATCTTTGGAAAGCTGAGAAACTCGTGATTCGAACGACGTAAACCATTTTAAGATACAATCAACACAGCGGGCACAATCTGTCTCTTTGTCAGACCACCAACAGCCAAAACAAACCAACACAAACTGGAAGAAACTCACCAATTAGCCATCTGTTAGTCCACATTCCAACAAAAATGGTTTGGTTTCACTGTAAAGCGTCCATACAATCCAATTTGAAGAAGTTTTTAGTCCAAAACAATTGTATATATGAATAAACATCCATGGAATGTAAATAGTAGCATTTCGCGTTAGCCGACAGCGCTATCACAACTTCGACGCACTAATGCTACGTTCACACCGGACGCGAATAGGGCGTCAGGCGCGAATGATTTCAATGTTAAGTCAATGCAAGAAAAATTCCTGCGGCGCGAATGAGGCGTGGAGCGCGGCGCGGAAGACGCGAATATGCCTCATTCGCGCGTCAAGTTGGCTGAACTTTGGCGTGAATTCGCGCCGCGTTAACCAATCAGGAGCCTAGCTGCTTGCTCACGTGGTGAAGTGTCTGGATGCTTCAATAAATTATTTTGTTAATATGACTAAATGCATGGTGGGATTATGCACAACAAAGCAAATGTTTCATCACTTAAAACATTATTTCTATATGGAGACATGTTCATTTTGTATTGAATGTTATTCATTCCATATCTAGAAATAGTATTATGTTGTAAAGACAATCAACATATGTGCATAAATTCGTGTCTGGACGTGAGAGAGAGAAAAAAATCACAGGACAGGTTAATAACTTTTGAAGGCTGGCTCTATTTATTATCAAAACAAAAATAAATGACAGCTAGATTAGATGGATGAGGGGCCGGGCGAGGGTGATCCTCGCTCAGATGCGGGACAACAGGTCATCAAACTGGGCGCGTGACAGGCGGAAGTACCGCTGACAGCGGCCGTCATCCAGCGCAGCTCCTGGAGCGAGCAAATGGTGAAACTCGCCAAACGGTACGGCTCCGAAGGGTCCGGTGGACACAAATATACGGCGACGATGATCCCCACGCCGCTGTTCTGCTATCCAGAGTAAATACAGAGCGGTAACTCTCTTGATGAATGCTCGGTCGACATAAAAACAATGACCGCCAACGGATTTTGATTCTGACGCGCGTAAATTTCGCTTCAAACTTTACGCGCGCCAGTTTCGCTCTTGACACGCAAAGCGAGAGTGATTCTCTGCGCGCGTGTGCGTAAACACAACAATCATCACGTGACAGGCTGCGCCGCTAAACTGGATATCGCTCATATTTTTTTCTCCCCTCCGATCTCCGATCTAGCGTTCTGGGCCGGTATCGGCGCGATACCGATGCCGTGGATCGGATCGGGACATCCCTAGTTTTAACCTTATTTTCTTTGCTTCTGACCATATTGTAAGGCAATAAGTGATGTGAGGCAAGGGTTAGGGTCAATTACAAACCAGTTTTATCTGATTTTTAAAGGTCAGCTTAAAGTCTATTATGATACCTAGATATTTAAGTTTAGACACAACTTATATTTTTTCCCCGACACATAAATATCTTGATAATTAACTAGTTCCTATAATGGAGGTCCTGAAACGGAGGTCCTGTAACTGAGGTCCTATAACGGAAGTCCTATAACTGAGGTCCTATAACTGAGGTCCTATAACTGAGGTCCTATAACGGAAGTCCTATAACAGAGGTCCTATAACTGAGGTCCTATAACTGAGGTCCTATAACTGAGGTCCTATAACGGAGGTCCTATAACGGAGTTCCTATAACTGAGGTCCTATAACGGAAGTCCTATAACGGAGGTCCTATAACGGAGGTCCTATAACGGAGGTCCTATAACGGAGGTCCTATAACGGAGGTCCTATAACTGAGGTCCTATAACTGAGGTCCTATAACTGAGGTCCTATAACTGAGGTCCTATAACTGAGGTCCTATAACTGAGGTCCTATAACTGAGGTCCTATAACTGAGGTCCTATAACTGAGGTCCTATAACGGAGGTCCTATAACGGAGGTCCTATAACGGAGGTCCTATAACTGAGGTCCTATAACTGAGGTCCTATAACTGAGGTCCTATAACTGAGGTCCTATAACGGAGGTCCTATAACGGAAGTCCTATAACTGAGGTCCTATAACTGAGGTCCTATAACTGAGGTCCTATAACTGAGGTCCTATAACTGAGGTCCTATAACTGAGGTCCTATAACTGAGGTCCTATAACGGAGGTCCTATAACTGAGGTCCTATAACGGAGTTCCTATAACGGAGGTCCTATAACTGAGGTCCTATAACTGAGGTCCTATAACTGAGGTCCTATAACTGAGGTCCTATAACGGAGGTCCTATAACGGAGGTCCTATAACGGAGGTCCTATAACTGAGGTCCTATAACTGAGGTCCTATAACGGAGGTCCTATAACGGAGGTCCTATAACGGAGGTCCTATAACGGAGGTCCTATAACGGAGGTCCTATAACGGAGTTCCTATAACGGAGGTCCTATAACGGAAGTCCTATAACTGAGGTCCTATAACTGAGGTCCTATAACGGAGGTCCTATAACGGAGGTCCTATAACTGAGGTCCTATAACTGAGGTCCTATAACTGAGGTCCTATAACGGAAGTCCTATAACGGAAGTCCTATAACTGAGGTCCTATAACTGAGGTCCTATAACTGAGGTCCTATAACGGAGGTCCTATAACGGAGTTCCTATAACGGAAGTCCTATAACTGAGGTCCTATAACTGAGGTCCTATAACTGAGGTCCTATAACTGAGGTCCTATAACGGAGGTCCTATAACGGAGTTCCTATAACGGAGGTCCTATAACTGAGGTCCTATAACTGAGGTCCTATAACTGAGGTCCTATAACTGAGGTCCTATAACGGAGGTCCTATAACGGAGGTCCTATAACGGAGGTCCTATAACGGAGGTCCTATAACGGAGGTCCTATAACGGAAGTCCTATAACTGAGGTCCTATAACTGAGGTCCTATAACTGAGGTCCTATAACGGAAGTCCTATAACTGAGGTCCTATAACTAAGGACCTATTACTGAGTTCCTATAACTGAGGTCCTATAACTGAGGTCCTATAACTAAGGACCTATAACTGAGGTCCTATAACTGAGGTCCTATAACTGAGGTCCTATAACTAAGGACCTATAACTGAGGTCCTATAACTGAGGTCCTATAACTGAGTTCCTATAACTGAGGTCCTATAACTGAGGTCCTATAACGGAGGTCCTATAACTGAGGTCCTATAACTGAGTTCCTATAACTGAGGTCCTATAACTGAGGTCCTATAACGGAAGTCCTATAACTGAGGTCCTATAACGGAGGTCCTATAACTGAGGTCCTATAACTGAGGTCCTATAACGGAAGTCCTATAACTGAGGTCCTATAACGGAAGTCCTATAACTGAGGTCCTATAACGGAGGTCCTATAACGGAAGTCCTATAACGGAAGTCCTATAACTGAGGTCCTATAACGGAGGTCCTATAACTGAGGTCCTATAACTGAGGTCCTATAACTGAGGTCCTATAACTGAGGTCCTATAACTGAGTTCCTATAACTGAGGTCCTATAACTGAGGTCCTATAACGGAGGTCCTATAACTGAGGTCCTATAACTGAGTTCCTATAACTGAGGTCCTATAACTGAGGTCCTATAACGGAAGTCCTATAACTGAGGTCCTATAACGGAGGTCCTATAACTGAGGTCCTATAACTGAGGTCCTATAACGGAAGTCCTATAACTGAGGTCCTATAACGGAAGTCCTATAACTGAGGTCCTATAACGGAGGTCCTATAACGGAAGTCCTATAACGGAAGTCCTATAACTGAGGTCCTATAACGGAGGTCCTATAACTGAGGTCCTATAACTGAGGTCCTATAACGGAAGTCCTATAACTGAGGTCCTATAACGGAAGTCCTATAACTGAGGTCCTATAACGGAGGTCCTATAACGGAAGTCCTATAACGGAAGTCCTATAACGGAAGTCCTATAACTGAGGTCCTATAACTGAGGTCCTATAACTGAGGTCCTATAACTGAGGTCCTATAACGGAAGTCCTATAACTGAGGTCCTATAACGGAGGTCCTATAACGGAGGTCCTATAACGGAGGTCCTATAACGGAGGTCCTATAACTGAGGTCCTATAACTGAGGTCCTATAACTGAGGTCCTATAACTGAGGTCCTATAACGGAAGTCCTATAACTGAGGTCCTATAAATGAGGTCCTATAACTGAGGTCCTATAACTGAGGTCCTATAACTAAGGACCTATAACTGAGTTCCTATAACTGAGGTCCTATAACGGAGGTCCTATAACGGAGGTCCTATAACGGAGGTCCTATAACGGAGGTCCTATAACTGAGGTCCTATAACTGAGGACCTATAACTGAGGTCCTATAACTGAGGTCCTATAACTGAGGTCCTATAACTGAGGACCTATAACTGTGGTCCTATAACTGAGTTCCTATAACGGAGGTCCTATAACGGAGGTCCTATAACTGAGGTCCTATAACTGAGGTCCTATAACTGAGGTCCTATAACTCAGGTCCTATAACTAAGGACCTATAACTGAGGTCCTATAACTGAGGTCCTAAAACTACCTGGTGTGAAGCCCCTAGAGACGTCCAGGGGACATTTGTTTGTAAGCTGGGAACATGTCAGTCTACACGAGGCAACCCGTTCCATGTCAAATAAAAATGGTTTAATTAGGAAACTCAATGACGTTCTTCAAAATATCATTCATTTCTGTAGAGCTGGAAAAAATAAGGATCAAATGACTGAGTTTAACTCTGAAGATGAAACCAACCTGTTTGTTCCTCAGTTTCTTCATCTTTCACTCTGAATGTTTCTTCAATCTTTATGTCTTCCACCTCCTCTTTAATAAACATTATCTTTGTAATAGTGTGTCACGTGGATTCCAGTCGCTTCACCAGGAGATTGTCTGTGTTTGTCCTGTTTAAGATGAGAATAATTAAAAGAGAGTAAGTCAGACTGAGAGTTAATTACCTGATAGATACATGTATATATATATATATATATATATATATATATATTAGTGCTGTCAAACGATTAAAATATTTAATCGTGATTAATCGCATTAAAGCGCACCTATCATGGATTTTTGAAAATGACTGTTCATGTAGTGTGGAATATAGATCTAAGGGAATGAAAACATCCTGCAAAGATTTATATCTGAAAGTGCACCGTATATAAAGTTATTGTCTTTCAAAAGTGAGAGTCGACTCTGAGTCTATGAAATGAATCGTTTTTGAAACGAGTCATTAGCTGTTACATCGTGACGTAGATACGAAACATTGGCATATTGGCCGCTCCCAACAACTGCGTGCGCAGACGGGAGTGTAAACTTGAACACATTCAAATACTTCAGCTCAATCGCATCATGTCGAGAAGATGCTGTGTTCTACAATGCTAAGACAGTTCAGCCACTTGTTTCCATTTACCAGGGACGAGCATGTGAAGAATCAGTGGTCAGAGTTAATATTTGCAACGATACCACAACAGTATAGACCGAACCTTGTGTTCTCATCATTTTAACGACGAATCATTCAAAAACATAAATGAATTCAAATGTGGATTCGCAAGCTGGTTGTTCCCGAAGGAGGGCTCAGTATCCAGTGTATATGGATCAGGTTCGTCCTCCTCTGAATCACAATCTGTAAGTATTATTAATAATGTTTGCCGTTATGTTTTCTGTAGCATGCACAATATAGTTATATTGTGTTGTGTGTGTTGTGTACACTCCGTGCAGCTTCTAAGCGGGGTAAAGTTAGTTTTGTTTTTGATATTCACCAGACATTCATTGAAAAATGGCAATTACCTCCTAAACTGTAATATTTTGACTTAGCCAAATATTACTAAACTCTGTATAATAAGCACTGCCCCTCAAAAGCCGCCGCAATGTGAGTTTCGCCGGGAAAACTCACTCTTGACGGAGACGCGAGTAAGGGGCCGTGTGGAAAGTGCACTTTTTCTGACACGTTTGTTCAAACACTATATACAATTTTCAACACTTGACGAGCTATAATCCTGGTTATGGGCGATCCGTTGCCGACAGTCTCTGCCTACGGTTTACCAATAACAACTGACTGGGTCATTTGACCAATCGCCACAGATTCGCGTCACTCAAAGGAGGTGTTTGGGAAAATGAATCGTCGAATGAATCATTTGGGAGTCGTTGAGCAAATCAGTTAAAAATAAATGCATATTATAAGACAAATAAAGTGTTTTTTTATCCTTGCATGCACGTTAAACTGTTTTTGGGAACTCCTAAAACTAAAATAGGAACATTTCTAATTATATGATAGGGGCTCTTTAATGTCATAGCTAACTCGCGATTAACTGCAATTAATCGCACATTTTTATCTATTCTAAATGTCTCTTGATTTTTTTTTTCTCACATTATTTTTTCTCATTTTAATGCTTTTATCAACATGGACAAGTGGATCGGCTTGCTTTGAGCAAATGTATTTTATTGAAAAAAACATTGGCATACTATGTTCAAATTCACAATAAATTAAAGCTGAGTCAAACTTCCGACTCTGCACTACACTCCAGCCGCATGTCAGTCTCGCCGCCGACTCTCCACTACACTCCAGCCGAGTGTTTTGTACCAGACAGCACACGTCTATAGTCTTGCGTTATAATCGTAACGTTACGCCGTCATGCCGGAGTGTGTTGTACCAGACAGCACACACACATCTATAGTATTGTGTTATAATCGTAAAGTTACGCCGTCATGCCGGAGTGTGTTGTACCAGACAGCACACACACACACACATCTATAGTATTGTGTTATAATCGTAAAGTTACGCCGTCATGCCGGAGTGTTTTATACCAGACAGCACACACACACACATCTATAGTATTGTGTTATAATCGTAACGTTACGCCGTCATGCCGGAGTGTGTTGTACCAGACAGCACACACACACACACATCTATAGTATTGTGTTATAATCGTAAAGTTACGCCGTCATGCCGGAGTGTGTTGTACCAGACAGCACACACACATCTATAGTATTGTGTTATAATCGTAACGTTACGCCGTCATGCCGGAGTGTGTTGTACCAGACAGCACACACACACACACATCTATAGTATTGTGTTATAATCGTAACGTTACGCCGTCATGCCGGAGTGTGTTGTACCAGACAGCACACACACATCTATAGTATTGTGTTATAATCGTAACGTTACGCCGTCATGCCGGAGTGTGTTGTACCAGACAGCACACACACATCTATAGTATTGTGTTATAATCGTAAAGTTACGCCGTCATGCCGGAGTGTGTTGTACCAGACAGCACACACACATCTATAGTATTGTGTTATAATCGTAACGTTACGCCGTCATGCCGGAGTGTGTTGTACCAGACAGCACACACACACACACATCTATAGTATTGTGTTATAATCGTAACGTTACGCCGTCATGCCGGAGTGTGTTGTACCAGACAGCACACACACATCTATAGTATTGTGTTATAATCGTAAAGTTACGCCGTCATGCCGGAGTGTGTTGTACCAGACAGCACACACACATCTATAGTATTGTGTTATAATCGTAACGTTACGCCGTCATGCCGGAGTGTGTTGTACCAGACAGCACACACACACACACATCTATAGTATTGTGTTATAATCGTAACGTTACGCCGTCATGCCGGAGTGTGTTGTACCAGACAGCACACACACACACACATCTATAGTATTGTGTTATAATCGTAACGTTACGCCGTCATGCCGGAGTGTGTTGTACCAGACAGCACACACACACACACATCTATAGTATTGTGTTATAATCGTAAAGTTACGCCGTCATGCCGGAGTGTGTTGTACCAGACAGCACACACACATCTATAGTATTGTGTTATAATCGTAACGTTACGCCGTCATGCCGGAGTGTGTTGTACCAGACAGCACACACACATCTATAGTATTGTGTTATAATCGTAACGTTACGCCGTCATGCCGGAGTGTGTTGTACCAGACAGCACACACACACACACATCTATAGTATTGTGTTATAATCGTAACGTTACGCCGTCATGCCGGAGTGTGTTGTACCAGACAGCACACACACACACACATCTATAGTATTGTGTTATAATCGTAAAGTTACGCCGTCATGCCGGAGTGTGTTGTACCAGACAGCACACACACACACACATCTATAGTATTGTGTTATAATCGTAACGTTACGCCGTCATGCCGGAGTGTGTTGTACCAGACAGCACACACACACACACATCTATAGTATTGTGTTATAATCGTAACGTTACGCCGTCATGCCGGAGTGTTTTATACCAGACAGCACACACACACACATCTATAGTCTTGTGTTATAATCGTAAAGTTACGCCGTCATGCCGGAGTGTTTTATACCAGACAGCACACACACACACGTCTATAGTCTTGTGTTATAATCGTAACGTCACGCCGTCATGCCGGAGTGCGTTGTACCAGACAGCACACACACACACACACATCTATAGTATTGTGTTATAATCGTAACGTTACGCCGTCATGCCGGAGTGTTTTATACCAGACAGCACACACACACACGTCTATAGTCTTGTGTTATAATCGTAACGTTAAGCCGTCATGCCGGAGTGTTTTATACCAGACAGCACACACACACACACATCTATAGTATTGTGTTATAATCGTAGCGTTACGCCGTCATGCCGGAGTGTTTTATACCAGACAGCACACACACACACATCTATAGTCTTGTGTTATAATCGTAACGTTACGCCGTCATGCCGGAGTGTGTTGTACCAGACAGCACACACACACACACACATCTATAGTATTGTGTTATAATCGTAACGTTACGCCGTCATGCCGGAGTGTTTTATACCAGACAGCACACACACACACACACGTCTATAGTATTGTGTTATAATCGTAACGTCACGCCGTCATGCCGGAGTGCGTTGTACCAGACAGCACACACACACACACACATCTATAGTATTGTGTTATAATCGTAACGTTACGCCGTCATGCCGGAGTGTTTTATACCAGACAGCACACACACACACACATCTATAGTATTGTGTTATAATCGTAACGTTACGCCGTCATGCCGGAGTGTTTTATACCAGACAGCACACACACACACGTCTATAGTCTTGTGTTATAATCGTAACGTTAAGCCGTCATGCCGGAGTGCGTTGTACCAGACAGCACACACACACACACATCTATAGTATTGTGTTATAATCGTAACGTTACGCCGTCATGCCGGAGTGTTTTATACCAGACAGCACACACACACACATCTATAGTCTTGTGTTATAATCGTAAAGTTACGCCGTCATGCCGGAGTGTTTTATACCAGACAGCACACACACACACATCTATAGTATTGTGTTATAATCGTAAAGTTACGCCGTCATGCCGGAGTGTTTTATACCAGACAGCACACACACACACATCTATAGTATTGTGTTATAATCGTAACGTTACGCCGTCATGCCGGAGTGTTTTATACCAGACAGCACACACACACACATCTATAGTCTTGTGTTATAATCGTAAAGTTACGCCGTCATGCCGGAGTGTTTTATACCAGACAGCACACACACACACATCTATAGTATTGTGTTATAATCGTAAAGTTACGCCGTCATGCCGGAGTGTTTTATACCAGACAGCACACACACACACATCTATAGTCTTGTGTTATAATCGTAACGTTACGCCGTCATGCCGGAGTGTGTTGTACCAGACAGCACACACACACACACATCTATAGTATTGTGTTATAATCGTAAAGTTACGCCGTCATGCCGGAGTGTTTTATACCAGACAGCACACACACACACACATCTATAGTATTGTGTTATAATCGTAAAGTTACGCCGTCATGCCGGAGTGTTTTATACCAGACAGCACACACACACACTTCTATAGTCCTGCGTTATAA